GTCTTGGATGAATTGCTGGCAAGATTTGGACCTAAATTTTCAGTTTTCTGATGATTCTTACGCCAGAAATGTTGGCAAGAGACTAATTTCTTATGACTGGAATTTTAGTTTCTAAGACCTGAAAGTCTATTCTAGAATTTGAAAGAGAAACTGCATTGATAGAGCTGGAAGAATGGAGGCGGTTGGCATTTCCGCATCAAATCAGTGGCGAAAAGAAACATTCCTCGATAAAATTCTGTAGGCCTGGGCATGAAATCAAGAAACTCATAATGACTTGTGTGATATCGCCTCAACTTGCAGGGGGCGGATAGTGTGTGCTGTATCCAAGGACAAGTGGTAACAAAAATTTATTAGTTATTTAAAATATTACAGTGTTATCTACATCTCAACACAACCAGAAACTGATTATAAAACAGTCTCAGGCTCAACATGGCTGGGGACAATCAATCCGGGCTGCAACGGCACCTCATATTCGATCTTGTATTTTGGGATCGGATTCAACATCAGTATACCATCATGCGTTGCCAGACGATTGATGCAGTCATTCGATTCGCCCATTCGACGTACTTTTCCAGATATCGCGTAACTGAGCAAAACAAACACATTAATAACATCCCGATAATCGAACAACAGAAATAGCTCGAGGATGGGCTACGAACAGAGGCGAGCTCTCATCTCCTGGAGTTTAAATTCATAGCGACACACAATTTGAAAATTTGGGCAAAATCTAGAAACTGCTACTTCTTGATTAGCATATTTGGCAAAACGAAAAAAACTTTTTAAACACCTTAAATTGTTAATTAAATCAGGCTGTGGTGTTTTTTTTTTTTTTAAATCAGGATACAGGCGGCAATAATCATTTGGCTCACGAAACCATATGGAGCACAAAATAGCTTCTTTAGAGTTGAAGAGGGGAAAGGAAAAGAAGATAAGAAGCGAAGATACGCAGGCAAAGCCAGGTAAACAAAAATCAAGTCATGCGAAGTTTTTGGTTTTGCTTGGCCACGCTCGTAGGATATTTTGGTGAATTTGCTAGTGGAGGCAATGTAACCCAGGATCGAAAGACCTGGCGCAGCTGCGTTCGGCGTGTGAGAGCATTCCAGAGACAACACCAACATGTGATACCCACATTGATAGCCCGGCAGTTTTGGTATTTTTGCATTAGGCGTCTCGGTACACTCGATGCACTCTGGTGTCATCTCCCAAGAACCATCCTCTTTTTCCATACTCCCCTTCCTACTAAGTCTGTTTTCTGTCATTATGGCAAGGAGAACGTTGCAGTCATGCTGAAAAATGCACAAACCTGATACAATCTCCAACTAACAGTGGCCCCATGATTCTTGGAAGCATTTTTGGTGGAAGTTCGCCTGGAAGCGGGGCAAATGTGATCATTATTGAGTCATAATCGCGCGGTCCAAGGATACGCGATGTCGAATCACATTTCCGTGGCGTGTACAGTAATTCAGCAGTGGGCCTCAATTTTTCATGCTGCTTTGCCATCTTCTCCATCCTGAAAATTTTACCTCAGTTAATGAACAAACACACCGGGCTAGCAAAAACTCCCCAATTTCATAATGTTTTAGACAGTATATTTACAAATTTACAGTAAGATGACCAAATGCTGACAGTCATCTTAAGATACCCGCAACGTAGTCGCACGAGCTTCTTTCAAACATCGCTACCAATCGCTAAAATTTACCATACTTGGGCGAATTAGAATTGCTGAATTCCGCTACAAGTAGGCCGATTGCTGTCATACCTAGTTCAGTTCAGCT